TCTCACCGGCCCGCAATTCTTTTAAAATAATGCTGTCAGACATAGTGGTGCATACCAATCATCTCAGCATTCTGGGAGGCTGAGGCAGGAAGTTCATGAGTTAAAATCCAAGCTGGGTAATTTAGTGATTTCACAAGACTGTCTCAAGGAGCAAGGGAGATAGCTCAATAGAATAAGCGCATTCCTGGCAAGCACAAGGGCCTGAGTTCAATCCCCGGTCCTGCCAAAAAAAGAAAAAAAAAAAACAAACAAACAAACAGACTGTCTCAAAATAAAACATAAAAATAAATTTAAAAAATTAAAAAAGACCTGAAAATGTAGCTCAGTCTGAGGCCCTCGGTTCAATCACCAGTGATTAAAAAAAAAAAAGTAAATGCCTATGTCGTATGGGTTTATCAACAAATATTTATCTAAAGAAGGAAGTCTTTCCCTACCTTTATTTATTTATTTTATTTATTTATTTTGCTGACTCAGGCAGGTGGAGGTGAGGATGGAACAGGTGGTATCCTGCACCTGACTGCATTTGCATGAGCAGGCACTTAAACAACTGAGCAAATGGGCAGGCTCCCAAAATCCTTTCTTTTTTTTTTTTCCTCACCTTTAGTGTAACCAAAAAAAACCCCAATTATCGGAAGTAAAGTTTTCCCACAAATCAGTACCAGCAAATGTTCAATCAGTATTCAAATTTTCATGTCATATATATGCCATATATGGGGTGTGTGTGTGTCTAAACAACACCTCCATGTTGTGTGATTTTTTAAAATGTATTTAATACAGAGTCTACAGGGTTTACAAGGTCTCACTACATAGATCGAACTCATGATCCTCCTGTTTACAGCCTCCCAAGTGCTGGGATTACAGGCGCATGTCACCACGCCCAGTCTAGTGTTGTGATTCTTTGTGTCTCTTAAGTCTTACTGGAAAAAAATCACTGTTTGGTAGGCAAAATTTATAGTCAGTAAAGTGTACAATATGATGGGTTGTGAGTAATTTCTTTTCTTTTGTGTCCTGCTCAGCCCACTCTGCGGGCAGGACTGGAGCAGCATGTGGTGCCAGGTATTGAACCAAGGTCCCTGAGTGCTTGCCTAAGCTTGCCTAGCAGGTGCTTTACACCATGAACTATCTTGCTGGCCCCCCCCTTTTTTTTGAGACAGAGTCTTGGTATGCAGTGCAGGCTAACCTTGACAGCACACCTTGTACCCCAGGGTGGTCTGGACCTCACAGAGATCCTCCCAACTCAGCCTCCCAAGTACTAGGATTATAGGCATGCACCTCCATGCCCAGCTTAATACATGCCTTTTTAAGGTTAGAATTTCCTATTATATTGGATAGACCTTGACACCATTCTCAGGTGAAATAAATTGGACACACATATGTACATACTGTATCATTTCTCAGGTGTGGCTGAAGATTTAACTCAGTGGTAGAGCATTTATGCAGGATGTGAGAGGGTTTGGTATCCAGCAATAGAGAAAAAATTCCTTTCCTTGATATAAGCAATTAATCACTGGAAAATGAAAATTCAAATTATCACTAGAAATAGTCGGCCTCAAACTTGTAATGATTCTCCTGCCTCAGCCTCCATTTCTGGGATTATAGGCATGTGCCACCACACCCAGCTAACTAATTTTTTTTAAAGATTAACAATTTTAGTAAGAAAAAAACTTTGGTGGGGGGAGGTCTTTTTGAGAAGGGTATCACTATGCAGTTCAGGATGGCCTTGAGCTCACTTTGTAGCTCAGGTTGGCCTCAGACTAGTAGTGATCCTCCTGCCTCAGCCTCCTGAGTGCTGGAATTGCAGGTAGATACCACAATGCTCAGCACTAAGATAAATTTTATAAGTTATAAATAAGGCAAGGAATGGAGCTTAACAGCTCAGTGGCTGCCTGATAAGTGCTAGGTCCTCAGTTTGATTCCATCACAGTACCGTCCCCCCAAAAGTTATAAATATATACCATGTTCATGGATCAGAGCATTTGCTATTGCTTGATGTTAATCTTATCCAACTCATGCTTAATGTTAAAAACTATCAAATTGTTAGCAGATTTTTTTTTTCATGCTGTGCTTCTCTTTATTCAATACATCAGATGTGGAGTTCACAGATGAGACTGGCAGCATGTGCAGGCTATAGACTGCTTGCTTGTGGGCCATGTGGTGGGCTCTGAAATGCATAGAACTCAATTATATGTGTGCAAAAGCAAACAAACTACAAATTAGGAATAACCTAGGCAGAGAAGAGTAGAATAGTATATTCTTACAGTCTCCGCTACTCAGAAGGCTGAGGCAGCAAGGTTGAGGCCAGGCAGGACAGAACTTGTCTCAAAAAAGGACTAGGGGGGAAAGAAAAAGGACTGGGGATATAATTCAGTCGCAAACATAAGGCCTTGAGTTTACAAATAAAAGAATAAAATTTTCTAGGAATGGTGGTACACACCTATGATACCAGCACTTGAGAGGCTGAGGCAGGAGGATACAGGAGTTCAAGGCCAGCCTGGGCTACATGAGTGAGTTTGAGGCCAACCTACAATAAAAGTGCGAATCTGGGGCCAAGGAGATAGCTAAGTAGAACAAATGCTTGCCTGGCAAGTGCAAAGTCCTGAGTTCAAACCCCAGTACCACAAAAAATAAAAATTAGAAAAAATAAATAAATAAAAGTGAGAATCTGGCTAAAAAAAAAGGAGAGACATAAAAAAAAAAAATAAAGCACAAGCTTCCAAACCTGACTCAAGAGCCAGGGATATAACTCAGCAGCGTAAGTCCCTGCCTAGCAAACAAAAAATCCTGAGTTTGATTTCTGGTATTGAAAATGAATAAATAAATAAATAAAAGCTGACTCAACCACTGGAAGTTTTGTTTTGTTTTTTGAAGTTATTATTTCATTAGTTTTTCTTTTTCTTTTCTTTCTTTTTTTTGGTGGTTTAAACATTCTATTTGCAAACATAGTATTTTCTATCAGTTTATCTCTTTCTTTCTCTTTTCTTTTTTTTTTTTGTGTGTATGTCTTTTTGAGACAGGGTCTCACTATGAAGCTCAGGCTAGCCTTGAGCTCACTTTGTAGCCCAGGCTGGTCTGGAACTCCTGCCTCAGTCTTCCAAATGCTGGGATTACAGACATGTACCACCATACCTGGTATATACCTGGCACTTTCAAAAGAAAAAAAAAATTTTTTTTTTTGGTGGAACTGGGGATTGAACTCAGGCCCATTGCGATTGCTAGGGAAGCACTTATTCTACTGAGCCATCTCCCCAGGCCCTCCCCAAAATTTTTTAAAATGTATTTTAGTACAGAGTCTACAGGGTCTCACTACAGAGATGACTCATAGTATTCTCCTGTTTTCAGCCTCCCAAGCGCTGAGATTACAGGCATGCACCACCTGGTCTCAATTGCGGTCTCAGCATGCTCCGGGGGTGGGGCCAGCATGGCAAGGGAGGAGGATTGAACTCAGGTCCTGTGTCTGCCTAAGCAGATGCTTGATTGACTATTTTGTAATTAATTATATGCCATGTGATAAACATCTTTCATTGTAAAGCTTATTTAAATTTTTTGGGAGCCTGCCCATTTGCCAGACCTGTACTTAAGGCATCCTGAGCCAGCCCCCCCCAAAAAAAAATCCTTCTGGGGCTGGAGAGATGGCTCAGTGGTCTAAAGCACCTACTTGGAACAAGCCTGGCAAAGCACAGGGACCACGGTTCAATCCCCCAGCACCACATGCCAGCCAGCCCTGCCCTCTGGTGGGCTGAGCTGGCCACACACACACACACACACACACACACACACACACAATAAATGTAAAAAAAAAATTTATTAAAAAAAAAATCCTTCTGAACTTTAAAAAAAAGAAAAAAAAAATTGGGGGCCCAGGGAGATAGCTCAATGGAGTAAGTGTTTGCCTGGCAAGCACAGGGTCCTGAGTTCAATACCCGGTACTGTCATAAATAAATAAAAATTTTTATGTTACAATATTTTCTTGGGATAAATATCTCATAAATGGGATTACCAGTTCAAAGAGTATATATAGAGATTTTGTTTTTTGAGACAGGCTAATTGTGTAGTTCAGCCTGGCCTTGAACTCAGTCTGTATCCTAGACTGGCCTCAAACTCAAAGCAATCCTCCTGCCTCAGCCTCTCAGGTGCTGAGATTACCAGTGTGTGACACCACACCCTGCTAAGCATAAAGATATTTATTTATTTATTTATTTATTTATTT